TACCAGGAGTGGCATTAGGGGGTAGAAAGTGGGGCAGTTGCCAGGGGCCCCATGCCACTGGGGGCCCTACGAAGCTAAGTTAGATGATCAAGCTTTGGTTTGAGCCCTGGGTGGCGGGGTTCGGGCTTGGACCGCTTAGTTTCTGGCCTGAGCGCCAGCAATCTAATGCCGGCCCTGCCTCCCACCTACCCACACGCCTTTCCGTTCACTTTGGTACAATTGCACAAAGAACATATTTCAGATCCTTTCTCTCCCAAAAGGAGACCATGGATTCAGATAAAGTCTACCACTGTGGAACAAAGACCTGAAACACAGCTGAGACAGAAACACACAAAAGCAAAAATAATCTAAACGAAAGCTGTGCACATTGTTACGTTACCTCTGTTGTGCCTACTTATTGCAGGATGCAGTAGATCTGATCAAAACAGTCATCCATACAGACAAAGGTTGACTAGTGTCAGGTAGGAATGGCTACCGATGTACAAGGTAGCTGTAAAATACAAACGAAAAAAGCCTTTTAAGAGTGCAGAATACATTTTTCTTATGAACGCTAAGGTAATTGATCTTTGTTTAATCAGTCGAAGGTAATCAGTTGAATTGATCTTAAACTGCTTTTAATTTTAGGGTATGTCTATTGGATGTTGGTGAAAAAGTTTATTTGCAAATAGAACAATTTAAAAGGCTATTTTGATTTGCACAAGCTTCATAAAATGTTAAAAACTACAGATATTTACATCTGAGACCTCCTAACAAGATATTTTCAAGAACCATACAGAAAATGCTGACTGTAAATATTCAAATTTCAAGGAATTAAAACTAGATAGATTATATTCTAACTGGATTTCTGAAAATGAGTGGCACCCCCACTGTCCTCTATCTCTCTCTTGTTTATGGATTAATGCAACAGATGGAAGCCTCTATCCTGAGCTGCATTCCCAGAAAAACAGTAACATACCAAAGTAAGTGTGATAAAACTCTTGTGTTAAAGATACATGCTGAAGAGTAGTAGGGTTCCCTCTGTGTGGTAGGGATGTAAGAATTGCCAGCTAAACTGACTGAAACAACAATTACTTTATTTTCAGTTAGCTTTTGACCAGGACTAGGATACTAGTATTATGAACTCCAATCTCTTGAATGCTATGATATCCTATCTTTAATCCCCACAAGATGTTTTCACATGTTAGGCTTTATGTGTCATCTGAAAGATGGTACTTTCAATAACACAGTGTCACCTAACACCAAGTTGAGGCATTGATTTTCAGTACAGGCTCAGAGAAAAGAATGCCACCTACTGCATAACCAACCCACCTTTTGTCATCCCTTAGCATTTCCCCATCCAAGTACTGACACATTCCAAATCTACTTAACTTGTGAGATCTAACAGGTAGAAGAGTTTCGCTTTTCATGCAAAGAACCCTTTGTGATAATCTTGAAGACAACACAGTTTTCAACACCACTGGTCACTCTTTCTCCCCTAGATTCTTGTATGCATGTTCTGCTGTGATTTACCCTAACATTAAATCTTGTGGCTGGAGACTTTGGTGTCCAGTTAATAATGATTTTGTGTTGGTTATGTTTCTATAGAACAGTGGAAATAAAATATCTATATATAATGAAAATGATTTAAAACACGATCCTGGAAAATTTGAATAAAATATAATCCTTTGTCTCACTGCTATCCCTTTTTCAGTCTGGTATTTTTGTTTCATGGCAATGGTATTTTAGCAGCAAATAATTTTTAAAATAACTTTATAACTTGTATGTTTTTAGATGGAAATATAAAAACTTTTCTGAAACCAGGATTATCCAATTTTTCCACACTCTTGGTGAGTGAAGAAACTGAT